TGAAAATCTCTCCCAAAAAAAAAAAAAAAAAAGGAGCTAGGTTGGAGTTAGCAGATGGGAAGGGCAGGATAAGAATGGGACCGAGCCTCCCAGCTGAGGCTGTAGTGGGCTTTTGTCATTATCCTCTTTCCCACAGTCATGTCTCCACTTCCCCAGTTCCTCCAATACCCCTCCTCAGATTCCTCTTGTGGCCCTCTACAGGGCAACTTAAACTTCCTGTATACTAGCTGTACTGCCGACACGTTCGTGGCCACCTTGGAGGTGTTCATCCCGTCTACCCATTTTGTGCCTACAGCTACACACTGCCTTGTGTGCAGATGTGACCGGGAATGGGCCTGGGCGGCTTTTAACACTGTACACCTGCATGCTGCACACCTGCACGCCACGTGGGCTCTGGAGCCTCAGTTGCTGCAGGGGAGCACACAGGGCTCTTGGTGGCCTTGCAGCTTCTTTCCAAGCACAGGCCCCTTTCTGCCTCAGTGCTCGCCTTCCTCCAGGTCCCTTCCCACCCTGACCCCCTGCGTTTTTCTGTCCTGGAGGGACATCTGTTATTTGTCTAAGCCAAGCCGGATCTCTTGGTTCCTTTGCCACATACAGATTCCCCCTCTGCCCTGCACATAGGTCAGCCCTTGGGGTTACTCTTCCTTCTCCCGCAGTTTTCTCAGAAACTCACGTTTGCCTTCCTTTTTGTTTTTCTTTGCAGACTCACCGCCACAGCAGCTTGTTCCTTGGATCTGCGTAAATTCCCTCTGGACAAGCAGGACTGCAAGCTGGAGGTGGAGAGCTGTACGTGTGTCTCCTGTGGCCCTCCTCCCTACCTGGGACTGTGGGCAATCAGGAAACCAAGGCAGGATTGACTCCCCTCCCCTAATTCTCTCTCCCCAGCAGGTGGATGACAGATGGCTGGATAGGTAGGCAGAGGGTAGGATGAACAGTAGTGCACCCTCTGCAAGGCTGAGGCCATGTGGGTGCGTCCCCGATGTGCCTTCCAAGTTCTTGTAGCATCTCTTTGCTGCACTTTCCTTTCTGGCTAAGAAACTCCCAAGGGAGAGTGCTCTTTCCAAATCCCCCTTACCCCTGTGCTCAGACTCAGCAAGCAGAGGAACACCCCCCCGCCCCAGTATTGTAAGTTCCAACCTTCCTTTAGTTTTCACAGGTGGCTCCAGTGAAATCTGCCTATGCCTGTTCTCGAGACTGACTCTGTTCCTCTCCCCTCTCCAGACGGCTACACAGTTGAAGACATCATATTATTCTGGGAAGACAATGAGGATGCTGTCCAGATGACTGAAGAGCTGCTGATCCCTCAGTTCACCTTCCTGGGGAGGACAGTTACTAGCAAGGAGGTGTATTTCTACACAGGTAGCTCTGACTCCTTCCTTCTCTCCTGCCCTTTGTCCCGTTTGCATCCCCATAAATTCCTGGAGGCTTCTGCCTTTGAGCTTTGCACTCTCTGCTGCCTCCTTTCCTATTTCCCTCTGGTTCTAGACACCTTCCTGCCTCTCTTGATAAATCCCGAGTGGCTCACTCTCTGCCAGTGAGGGATGGCATGGATGCCCTTGGCCAGGCTTATAGCACTCTGCAGATTTTAAGGATTCTTGCTCCTCTCAGGGCTGCCTCCCACCCTCTAATTGTTTGCATCTTGAAAATATCTCTTGTCTTTTCCATTTCAATACTTCAGCTAACATGGCAGAAGTCAGGAAGAGAGAGAGAGCCAGAGATGCCATGCCATTTGGGCCTCCAGAGATATGTCATTGTCATCTGCTGCTGGTACAGCAAGTGGGGCCAGATCTGCAGCCTGCCCAGGCTGGATGCTTCTGGATGGAGTATCAGATGCCAAAGTGCCCAGCAGCCTCCCCACTTCTCTTCATCCTTCATCATGTCCTGCCCCACCCTATAAATCCCCTCAGCCCCGTCACCCTGATGCCAGTGTATCTCCTTGCCAGGTTCCTACAAGCGCCTGATACTGAAGTTCCAGGTCCAGAGGGAAGTTCATGGCTACCTAGTGCAGGTCTATTGGCCCACTGTCCTCACCACGATTTTCTCCTGGATATCGTTTTGGATGGACTATGATTCCTCTGCAGCCAGGGTGACACTTGGTAGGTCCTGTCTCTGTCTCAGGGAGGAACTTGGGTTAATTTGTTCAGAGAAAAGTTGAGGATAAGGAAGGGATGCCTGAAGCACTCTGCAACTGCACAGCCAGGGAAAAAAGGGTTTCTCTAGTGGGCATTGGCGTCAGCTCAGCCAGCCCCCAGTGGAGACATGGACATTAGAGACACATGCAGGAAAACATCAGGGCTGGAACCTGGGCACACTGGGCCCAGAGTGCCAGAGTTCTTATTTATTGAATATGTAATAAATGGGCAAGTCATCGATGTAGATAAGAAAGGCAATGCAATAGACATTAAGGGAGATATCAAAATGGCCTACTAGGAAGCAGAAGGGTACCAGGGCAACTGCCGAGGAGCGTCTAGCACTGGGCAAAGATGCAAGCCCTCAGAGTCCATGGGGAAGGTGACCCAGGACTGTGGCCAAAACTGTGCCAGGAAAGTTGCTCAAAGAGTGGGTTTGAGGGATGGCAGGAGGCACAGGCACAAGGCTTGACATTCCCCAAAAGAGGAAATCTCTGAGTTGAAAGCATAGGGGTCCTGAAGGGGGGCTAAATCACAGCGTGCCTGGGATAGACACTTGGGAGGTGAGGGGAGCAGCAGAAAGATGCCCAAGCAGGTGAGAAGATGGTGAACATCGCGTGTGAGTGTGGGGAGCCGTGACAGGGTTATGAGCAGTACCAAGGGGGGCCTAAGAGAGGCTCCCAGTTTGCTTGTTGCCACCCCGCAGGATGCTAACGTATCCCAGATCCGGGGCTGGTGTCTGCCTCGCCAGGTTTGGGGCAGACTCCTCAGCTGGCTCTTTAGGAGCACATTCTGGACTAAACCTTTCTGTTCATGTAACATCTGTGTAATATTTTAGGGCTCATAAGACCTTCCCCAGGGCTAAAGGCAGAACTGCACACTGGAAGGCAGAATGGGGAAGGGGCTGTCATAGGGCATGGTGGGGTTGGAAGTGTGAGTGACCATGAAGCCATGAAGAGAGATTTGGGACTGACCCTAGAAACAGTCGGAAGTCATCGAACCATAAGAAGCACAGGTGGGATTTAGAGATGGGGGAGAAAGAGCAAAGAGAGCACTTCAGCAAAGGCCCTAAGACCAAAGAGCTGAAGGCCTTTGCCGAGAGGCCTCTCCACCCTAGACATGGCCTCACTTCCCTTTCCTGTGGCCCCCGTGGCTTGCCAAGAACATCAGCCAGCAAGGAGGCTGAGCCTGCACCATGTCGTTTACAGGCCTGTCTTCAATGCTTATCCTGACCACCATCAACTCCCATCTGCGGGATAGACTCCCCCACGTTTCCTATATCAAGGCCATCGACGTCTATATCCTGGTGTGCTTGTTCTTTGTGTTCCTGTCCTTGCTGGAGTACGTCTACATCAACTACCTTTTCTATAACCGAAGACCTCGGCGTCACAGGCGACGCAGGAGACCCCGACGAAGAGTCGTTGCCCGCTATCACTACGAGGAAGCGGTGGTGGGAAACGTGCAGGTTTGACTTTTTGACTGACAATCGGCTTTCCCTGAGCACCTCTCAAGCCCAGGCATAGCACTTGGCCCTTTCACACTGCTTAGTTCCTTCAGCCCTCACGCACGCGCACCCACAGCACATGCTTGTGGCATACACACACACAGCAGATAATAAAGAAGTAGGACCATTTGTCAGCACTCCTTTGTAGACGATAATTGTCCGAGGTCACAAGACAAGTGACAGAACTAGATTTCTCCAGACCTTTGGACCAAAGTGGCCCACTTTGCATGCTCCCAGGGCAGGCGATGAGACCGGAAGGGAAGGTGAGCACAGGGCGCCTGAAAGGAAGACAGACACCAGAGAGACTGGCCTGCCTACTACTCCTTCCTTGCACTTCCGACTGCCCGGCTGAGGTTGTTGCTACAAGGCACTGTGTTAATGTCCAGCAACCTCCCTCCTTTGCACTCTCCTTCCCGGGGGACCCAGCCCTACCTGCCTGGGCAGGCCTCCATCCACCTACCACACAGCACCCCCGAGGGTGCAGCAGCTCCCAGGGAGACACTGGCTTGGCAGCTGCATGGCCCTCCCTTGCATGCTAACAGCCCTGTAGTCCTTTCCTCAGCCCCCTGAACACCAGAGACCCCAAGAGGAGATGGCTCTGTCTGTCAAAGAGACCAGCAGTAACTGCGAGTGCCAATAAGGAATCCCCCCTCCTCCCTCCCTCCCAGTGCATTTCCATCTAGGTGGTATAAAACCGATGAAACTGATGAGCCTATCCATTATCTCCTCTAAGGATGGCCTGATTAACGTGGAAGATGGAATCGGCTCTCTTCCCACCAGCCCAGCTCTGGCCCCCCTGGCAAGCCCAGAAAGCCTCGGTTCTTTGATGTCCGCCTCAGAGCAGGCCCAGCTGGCCACCTCGGAGAGCCTCAGCCCAGTCACTTCTCTCTCGAGCCAGGCCCAGCTGGCCACTGGAGAAAGCCCAAGTGAGCCCCCCTCCACCTCAGAGCAGGCCCAGCGTAGCTATAGCATTCGCTTGAATGGTTTCCAGACCGATGACAGTATTATCCCTACTGAAATCCGCAACCGTGCTGAGGCCCACAGGCATGCTGACACCCATGACCACGAAGACTCTGAAGAGAGCTTGAGCTCAGATGAGGGCCATGGCGCCGGTGGGAAGTCTGTGCTTCACCAAGGTCAAGGATGTGTGCAGGAAGCAAGCTGTGACCTCGATGAGATCCGTAGCTTATGCGATGAGATCAGTATCAAAGGCAGCTGCCTTGGCTTTGAGGGGCAACTCAAGGGTAATGCTGACAGTGTCTGGAGTCTTAGTGATGAGGCGTTCATGGCCTATGGCCAAGAGAAGAATAGTAGCTCAGAGTCTGAGGACAGTTGCCCCCCAAGCCCTGAGTGCTCCTTCAGTGAAGGGTTCTCCTTCAAGGTCTTTACCCCTGACTATGTCCCTACGGTCGACAGGTGGTCCCGGTTCCTCTTCCCTCTTGCTTTTGGGTTGTTTAACATCATTTACTGGGCGTACCATATCTACTAGGCTCCAGTGCCCCAGAGCACCAGGGACATGGGCTGTGCTCCTTCCACAGTTCTTGTGGGTTCTGTTTTTCCCACTTTCCCCTGTTTCTTTTATTTTGTGATTATTTGGGCAGTCTAATCAGTTACACACTCAAGGTGTGACATAGTTGGAAAGGACATGTTCTGGCTTAAAGGGAAGGGATTGAAAAGTTGTTAGAGGTCACTAGCACATTGATTTCCTTCCTGCTGGAAGAGGCTTACCTTTTCAAACACTTCCAACAGCTAATAAGCATAGAAAAGCCCCTGGAAGTGTTTGGAGGACCCAGGAGGGATCTGAATCTTACCCGTAAATTTTGGGGAGCATTTGTAAGTGCCTTTCCCCACTTGTTTTGTTGTATTTTGAGTGTGATTTTGTAGGGGAGGAGTTGGGAGGGGAATGTGAGCAGGTAAGAGCATGTTTCCAGCAGGGGCTTGCAGGAGGCAGAGCTGATATAGGGTTGGAGATTTCACAGGTTGATTTGGAGGGAATTTCTCTTGCCTTTATTTCTGCTTCAGAATGTTTGCCAATGGGGCCTGAACACATCTAAGTCAGGAGTTAGCTTTCTATCAGTTGCTGAGTTGATCAGGAGTCATAGAGAAGGTACTTGGTGATTAAGCACCAGAGCTGAGAAAAATCAGACTTGCTGTTTCACCATCTGATCTAAAATAGCAGATGAATAGCTCTTGTGGCTCTACATACTAATCCTTTCTACTGGTCTGGTGTCACAAGTTTGCCAACCCGTCACAATGCTGGACCCTCACAGGAGTCCCGTGAGCCAAGGAAGACAAAGCACATTGTCCTCAGCGTTCCAAGATAAAAACATGCTTGACAACATGCAGCCAGTGAGTGTAGGGCTGCCCCCACCTGCTCTTCCTTCTCCGTTTCCTCCTCACTCTCTCCCCTGAGCCTTTCCCTCTTCCTCTCCTCCCCTTTGAAAAGGAGGTGCTCCTGCAGAGTTTGCCTGTCAGGCCCCTCACCTGAAGTGTCTCTACAGGAGGAGGGCACTGACCAGCCAGTGAGCTTGAACCAGGAAAATGGAGAACATGGGCACCGCCCACCCAGCAGGGCTCCCTGCAGAAGTGGAATTGGCCTGCACTTGAACTTGCCAACAGCTCCACTTCACTGATGGAGATGGTGAGGGAGTGAGCTTTGATGTTGCCAGAGACTCAACCTATTAGCCCTTCCTCTCCATACAGCCTCTTCTGCAGCTGCTTGCTCCTCTCCCCACCCACCCTTTTAACTCTTTTAACTGGGATTCTACGTTTGTGTTTTTGTGTATGCCTGGGATGTGTGTGTATGTGTACCATGGCAGCTCTGGGTACACACACAGTCATTTAAGGAGCTGTACAGCACTATGTCTATGGTATACGTCCACATGGGTATGTATAGACATGTATCTGCAGCAATGTGTGGAAGCATGTTTGTGTGTGCACCCCATAAAAGGGTAACTTCTGTATATGTGTGCTTGTGTGTACACACATGGGTGTATTTTGCATGCATATGTATCAGTGCATGTCTGCATACCTGATTTGAATGGGCGTGTAAAGGAAATACACCTGAAAGCATGTGTTCCCCATTGGTGGCCCTTCTAGAACAACCAGAATTCACCCTCCTCCACACAGTGAACACATACGCACATGGCCATACACATGTGCATGCACAGGAGGGTTCCCACAAGTGTTTTTGGATGACAGCAAAAAGCAAGAGAGATCTAGATTGAAGGGAGAGCAGTGGCAGCTTTCTGGGGCTCCCAACACGGATATTGACAGGCTGGCTTCCTAGGCCTAAACCTTGGTCAGTTGGCTTGGATTTCAGTCTCCAGGACCCTGAAGGAGCTTTGAGCTCCATGAGAGACAAACAGTTCGTCCATGGTGAAGTCATCAAGGGAGGTTGGAGCAGGAGAAACAAGAAGAGGGTCATCAGATTTGTCTGGCAGCAGGAAGACTTCTCAGCACTGAGGAAGGGCAGAGAGGCCAGTTGTGAACACCCCTGTAGATACATGTAGCTCAACCTAGTCAGCAGCCCTCAGAACTGGTTCCTTGCCCTAATATGCTACAATGAGAAGTGTGAACTGTCCTGCCACTCGTGCTCTGTGAGGTTCAATGTCAAGGTGAGGTGGAGGCTTGGCCATGACACCTTTTCAGGAACTTGAAGCATGGGTGTGGTCGTTTTGACTGGAAAGTTGCCAGATCTCCCCTTGCCATGCTGCTGTGGTCTTTAGTCTGTATCCTTGTACAGTGCCTTTGCAGAGGTAACAGACAATCTGTTGGATCTTCACAGCTTGTCAGATGTGTTCTTACAATTCATATTATCTTGTTAATAGCAAGGCTGCAAAATCATCACGTATTAGAGCTGAGTTTTGCTGAGAGTGTGGCCATTCCTAAGGAGGAATTTCCGTGTTCTGTAAATACAAGAGCTAACCCTTTGAGCTGTTAACTAATGAATGCAACCCACCTGCATGGTAGTCCACTTGTGGTGATGAGCAGTGACTTTCTAGGTATTCCACTATCCAACATCAAAGGAAATTGTGTCTTGTCCTACAAAAAGTGTAGTGCATTCGTGTTTGTGGTAGTGTCCTGTGATCAATATGAAAATCTGTATTATCAGTGTTGGGTTTTCAGGGGAGGGAGGGGTAAGGGTGTTAACGTGTATCCTCAATATGCTTAAACTATGAAGTAGCCCCAGTTCAGAGTCACCTCTGTTGACTCAATTTGTGTGAGACTTTGCTCCCACCATCTTGCCAGACTGCATTCCTGGGGTCAGTAGTCAGCAGCAGAGCTGGTGCCTGAGTTCAGCACAACTGAACATGGGGCCCAACATCACAAAGTGCCAGGGAATTCTTCGGAAGTCAGCCAAGCCAGTGACATTCTGGAAGCAGATGACATCCAGTCAAATCACACACATGCAGGTCTTCAGTGAAAACCAAGAAAAGAGGAGAACCAAGACTCAGGGATCTGGACAGCCTGACCCGCAAGGCACAGAGGGCCCCAAAGGGCACAGAGCAGCAGCGCCTCGCAAGGTGACTGGGCACCCCATTTTTTCTCTTTAAATGTACATTTTTGCATGATAAAGACCTTGACAGGTCCTGACTTCAAAAAAAGTAAAACATGAAGAAACATAAAATTATGTTTCTGAAAAATGTAAGTAGCGTACAAGGAAAAATAAACATATCTAATGGCAAATATTTGACGGGTCATTGTGTTTCTTCTCCACTGGATTGAAAGGTGCCACATGAGACGTCTGTCAGCCCAGGAAGCCTCTGGCTCCCATCGCTCACTGTGGCCTTCCTACTTAAGCACATCGGTCTCCTCAAAACCTAGGACATTTGAAGCCATGGTTTTCAAGTGGAGGGGAGTTAGCAACAGCACAGTCAAAATTAGTTGATGCTTTTGCACAAGCCATCCTTAATCATTTGAAATAAAAATTTTAAAACAGAGCAAGTAGTGGAGCAGAACTACGAGGTGGGCATTTAGTCATATTTTATGAGGTACTGAGGTGGACAGTCTTTATAAAGAACAAGTGATTTTAACAATCATTGTTGCCGATGCAAATGTGCAATAAGAGAGACCAAGGAAGCCCATTGGGGATGGGGAAAGGACATACTGAGGTTCAGAGTGTTCAGAGAGGCCCAGCTGCCATAGTGAGGCAGAGCAAGGGTTCTGAGACTGGAAGCCACGTGGACTGCCACAGGTTCTTGGCAGGCGCACATGAGGGGACCCAGGATTCTAAGGAAACAGAGGGCTTGGGAAAAGGGGATCGTGCATGAGAAAACTCAGATTATGCACAGGTACACATCACCAAAAAAAATGTTTGCAGAGTCCCATTCAAACACCCCATGGATGATGTAGGTGATCCTCACTGTGACCCACATTCATTAGTGCATTCCAAGCACCTTTGGTGAAAAGCTTAGAGTAGCAGCAGTAATCATAACCCAGTGACTTCCTATGTGGCTCCTTTGTGCTCTAAGCAGGCCCAAGGGGTGAGGGGGGCTGTGCACGCCCCTGAAGGGGCTGTTTTCCTGGTCTGCTCCCAGTTCCAAGCTGGGGCATACAGGAGCAAAAGTTTCTTGCATAGCCCCTCTTCGGTGTTCTGACTCTTACTAGCAGCGGCTGGCCTTCCTGGTCTCCTTCACCGGACTTGGGCTCCCAAGTCCATTTGTCCACTGATGCTCACCTCAAGGCCTCACTGGCTGCAGAACACCCCATCAAGGTGCACATGTTCAGTGTCTCGCTCACTGGATATTGTCACTGGCAGTCCTCGCTGGGTAGCCTTTGCAGTGCAGCCTGCCCACTTGACCTTCCCACCAACTCTTTTATGATGGTTTGAGAGGCAAAAGTCACCCTGTCAACTCCTGGCAACCTTCCTGCTGCTACAAGCTTACCACATCAGAGGGGTCACAGGTACATGCTGGAGGGGAAAATGCAGTGAGCAGGGCTGGAAGTGGGGTGGAGAGGGATTCCCAGCACATGTGCTGCTGCGGACGGAATTTGTGCCAACCAGCCAGATTCTGAAGGGGCCCAGGACCACAGGTGGCGCTTGTCACCCTTGAATGGGCCTGGCACTGCCCCCTCCTCCACTGTCTTTTGCTGCCTGCATAACTATGCAATTCTCTAAGAGACGTGGAGGGGAGAGGAGTGTGCTACCCCTCGCTCTCCCCAGCTTCAAAGAGGCTCTTGCCACAGCTTCCCAGGCTTTCAGCAAGGCTTCTCTCCCCAGACTCCCATCTTGGCCCAGCTTCTTCCACAACCCAGTACAGTGCTGCCTCCCATATTTAGGTTTCTCCCAAGCTCTCCTCCTGATCCGTCTCAAGGATGGGAGTCAGTAAGGGATACAGGTCTGAGGCAGACTTCTTTATTCTTTTAATAACCTTTAGCATATTGTCATACCAATGTGTTTACAAGCAATAGGGGATAAGAGACCTGTCTGCCATGGCACTCCAATGAATTTCTGTCCAGTGGTCTGGAAGCAGCTCAGAGGCTGCATAGGGCATCGTTGTCAGAATGGGAACATGACCTTCCCTGATGGCCAGCCTAAGACTTGCTGCAACAGAACCCAGCTCTGCAGCCTTGACTCCATATTACCCAGTTCCAATATCTTTCCGTGTTTTTTCTCTCGGTATTTCTATCTTTTTTATCTGGGCCCAACTACATGTACAGACCAAAATTCTGGCTGGGAAAAATAGTTCAAAGGGCAAAAGAAATAAACCAAAAGAAGGGAAAAATCTTCCAACGTAATTTTCTCGAGGAATGAAAGGAGCAGAAACACGTGAACTTCTTAGAAAGTCTCCCATTCATTTCACATGGCGGAGGGGTCAGAAATGTTGGCAAGTGGCAGACTCCAGCTCCCTCCTGCTTCTGTCTGAAATATACTGTTCCCATGGGCAACACCCTGCTTATTTAGCATCCTCTTCCAGTCCTCTCCTTTCCTAGCTCTTGGACAGCTAGCAGCCCAATTCTTTCTTTCTTCTTTTTTTCCTCGGTATTTTTTTTAATTTCCAGAGTACACTTGAGCTTGCCAGAGACAGCGAGAAGGAAGGGAAGAAAGCATCCAGTGGGCAGTGGTGATGCTGCAACTCCTCTCTATTTCTCCATTCCATCAGGATTTGAGGCACCCACACATATCTGGCATGGGCCAGAATTTGAACCATAACGGATCACACGCGGTCCAGCTCTCTTATCCACTAGGTCCAATTGGGCCCAGGTCAGATACACCACCCAAAGCTCTGCCCGTTGGGGAAAATTTTCCTTGCCACTCTTTTTCAAGGCCACCCCCCAAGTGTGCCTGAGATGCAGTGCCATCCATTTTCAGTTTGTACCCTCATACTGAAACATCCTATCCATGAACCAGTTGGAGCCCTTTCCCTCCTTCAACTGGTCATAAAGAATTTCCCCCTCCCCCCCAAAAATATGGCCACAAGTGCAAAGTGAGCAAAGGGCACTGGTGTATCTGGGACAGGTCTGAGCTATCTGCTCATGCAGCTACTGGAAATGTTCAATCTGGTACTGGCTAAAATATTAAGACCACTGTGGTGTCAAACCCCAAATCCCTAAAAAGAAAATGTTTATTTATTATTTTTATTTTATTTTATTGTTGGAGAGGTTTTTGCTCTAGGGCACGTGCACTCGCCAGAAAGACAGAGAGAGACAGAGAGACAGAAAGCGAGAAATGACCCCCCAGGGGGGATGGCCACACCGCAATCCCTTCTCTTCCATGCTCCTCTCAGGATCTTGGGTACACATGCACACACGCCCAGCGTGAGTTTAAGCCACCGGGTCCAGGACTCGAACCGTGATCGACTACATGGGAGTCCAGCGACATAGCCATTACGCTAACTGCTGGTCCCAAGAAAATGTTTATGTTCATCTCACATGATGTGTTTAATGCAGTCATCAGGGGAGCTTCTGCATATCGCAGCCACTCAGGGACAAGATGAGAGTGGCTTCATGGATTTGTGCTTGTACAATCTTTGCAGCAAAGAAAGGGAGAGCAGGGGGCCTCATACTACTAGTTAACTACTGTAGTCAGGAAGAATACACATCACTTACACTCACAACTCATTAGGCAGAACTAATAGCATAGCCTGACTCAACTCAGAAGAAACAAGGCATTCCTTTGCGTGCCCAGAAGGGGTGAACCACACATATCATAGAACAGTGCTGATGACAACCACAGGCAGTTTCCCTTATTTTTGGAAGGAATGTTGCCATCGCCTCTTCTCACCGAGAGGTACTCATGCTCTCCTTTTGCAGTAGTCTTCTCATGTCTAACTCTGGCACACAAACCAGCAACATACACTGAGGTTCTCAAATACTGCCATACTTAAGTGAGAATATATGTCATTCCTTAAGGAGGGATTTCTGGCCTCCAGAGGAAGTTACTTCCTCCGCATGAAGACTCTAATTTATCCTTCCAGCTGAGCAAATCACCTCCCCAGTCTGGGACAATCTCCACTAGTTGAAGATCACATTCATGGAATGTAGGTGGATATAGTGTTCAGAAAGAGCCTCAGGCAGTCATTCTCCTTGTTCCTCCCCGCCACCCCCAGCAAAAGGAAAACCATTCCCAGCCTTTTTTCTATTTCAGATGGGCTACACTAGCAAAATCCCAAAGGTCCTTCTAAGAGTTGAAACTCAGTTCCCAGCTGTCTCCAAGTGTGGAAGCTGAGCTTTCTCGTCTAAGCTTTCCACCATCACCTCTGAGGCTGTGTAATAGGATTCTCCAGAGAGACAGAACAAATAGTTATATAGAGAGAGAGGTAGATATATTAAAGTAGATTGATTAGAGGAATTAACTCATGCAATTATGGAGGCTGAGAAGTCCCACAATAGGCCATCCATAAGCTGGAGACCCAGAGAATCCGGCAGTGTGGATCAATTCAAGTCTACAGGCCTCAGAACCAGAAAAAGCTGTGGTGGAACTCTTGGTCCAAAGCCCAAGACCCAAGAACCCTGGGGACTGTTGGTACAAGTCCTGGCATCCAAGGCCAGAGAACCTGGAGTTCTGATGTCCAAGGGCAGGAGAAGAAGGGTGTTCCAGCCTAGGAAGAGAGAAAGCAAGCAAGAAAATTCACCTTTTTTTCTGCCTTTTTGTTCTACCTGGGCCTTTGCCAATTGAATGGTGCCCACCCACACTGGGTAAAGGCAGATCTTCCCCACTCAGTCTACTGATTCAAATGTCAATCTCTTCTGGAAATGCCCTCACAGACACATCCAGAAATAATACTTCAACAGATACCTGGGTACCCCTTAAGTCAGTCAACCTGACACCAAAAATAAGTCATCACAGGTTGTATACCCCATTGCAACTTCAAGAGAGGCTAACTATCCCTTTAATACTATAGTTAAAGCTGAAGAAAAAAGTAAACTCCACAACAGCTGAGTTGGCCCTGGGCAGAGCGAATCTGACAATGACCCAAACATTCAGTGAAATCTCTGACAAAGCAACAAGTCGACCTCTTTTAGAATCAGCATTCTTGAATTCTGCTGAAGACCCTGTCAAGAGTGAGGAGAGCATAAAAGAAGTATGTGGAGCCCAGGAGGTGTGGGCTGGGTTCTGGGGTGACAACAACTCCTGGATGGATGAAATGATACAGACAGTGCCTTTCCTCTACAGGATTCCCTCAGCTAATCTCCCTATGGCTCCATTTTGGGTAA